GGAAATTCCTACTAATTCTAATTGAGAAGAACTGGAATTTGACATTAGAGCTTCCTGATTTCAATGGTATTTACTATCATCTGGTCCTTACACCAGCAAAACACTAGGGGTCATTCAAGTCATATATGTACAGACATTTTTCTCATTACAACTTCCCAACTAATTTTTTCAGACCATTCAAAGGATAGGAGGAGAAAAACAAAGGAGAGACTAATAATGCTCGACAAGAAATGTACTCATTACATTACTCATGTAACTATAACTCCATCTACACAGTATCTTTGCAATAAAATAAAAATTTAAAAGGCACCAATGGCTCCGACTTATAAGTCTACCTAATTGAGGATTGAGAATATGTGGTTTGAAGGCCATCCTGGACAAAAAGTTCACAAGACCCCTTCTAAGCTGATAGTGCTGGACACAGTGCTCTGTAACTTTTATCCTAAGCTATGGAAAGGGGGCTGGTAAGATTTGGAGGATTTCATTTCCAATTGTGTTGTTTTAAACTCATATTCACCTTTTGCTGCCACCTTACTGGGACTCCAAGATGTGGTCTTTAGCTGCTTCTTTCCTTGAAAGTAGAGGCAGGTCTTCAACCACTGAAAAGGATGCATAGACCTTCTTGCCGGCTATTCATGGAGCACAGGAGAGAACTACACAGCAAAATTCTACCTTTAAACTGTACTCAAATGCAGAGAAGAATGTTAAGCAATGTCTACTTTGGGGATAAGATACTTCAAACTCAGAAGCTATTTGGAAAAAACAGGCAGGTTCAATTTGTGTGCCCTGAGATTCAAGGATCTACTCCATCCACCCACAGTTTGGAGTAATGCTTTGTGCTTTGTGACTAGACATCACTTCTATATTATGCAAACACTCCCCATTTGATCAGAAAGAACATCCATTTCGGCCTTGGAAGGGAACCTGTTTCTGTGTGAATTAACCTGTCCTCAAACAGTGAGGGATGGGGCTGTGTGTGATGACAGAGTCTACAGGACAGTGTGCAGAACCTGTGGTCCAATCATGCTCCTCAACTCACCAACATCTGCCAACAGGGGATGGCAAAGAATTCCTTCAACAAGTAGTTTTCCAAGGCACAGGAGGCGCAGCAGGCAGACAGTGTTGTGGCCCCAAACAATAGCACTTGGCAACACAATAGACATTACAAGGCAGTGCACCTGCCTCAGACTTTTTTGGGGGTTGGGGGGGGCAGTCGTGGGGCTTGAACTCTGGGCCTGAGCGCTGTCCCTCAGCTGTTCAGCTCAAGGCTAGTGCTCTACCACTTGAGCCATAGCACTGCTTCCAGCTTTTTCTTTTTGCTTATGTGGTGCTGAGGATCGAACCCAGGACCTCGTGCATGCAAGGCAAGCACTCTACCACTGAGCCACCTTTCCAGCCCCTGCCTCAGTCTTTTCCTTAATGATGGCCAGATCCTAGTTACTTGGGGACACATGCTTTTGGAAATAAAAAACAGGATTATGAATTTGAAGCATGTCAGAGGCTACATTGTGAAAATGGTACTTTCTATTTTTCTTTTTTAATTTAATTTTATTATAAAGATGCTGTATAGCAGAGTTACAGTTACATGAGTAAATCAATGAGTACATTTCTTGTCGAGTATTGTTACCATTTCTCTTATTGTTCTCCCACTATCCCTTCCTATTTTTTATTATTTATATTTTTTATCCTCATGCTTGTTCAGCTTCCTTGCTTGTTTGGTCCTCTATAACATGAGCCACACCTCCAGTCCACCTTCTCAAATGTTAGTTTGGATTTGATCATGATCCTTGAGATCTCCAGACTCCTGTATGCTTAGGCATATTGTCATGAGAAACTGATATCTAACAAGTGTTTTCATGATTATATTTTCATTCTATGAGCTCATCACAGAATTGTACAGCTTCTTCATTTTGCCTTAGTCCAAGTTTCCATATTGGATAATTACAGTATTAATAGTTGCGGCAACCATAACAACATTTCACAATTTTAGTGTTCAGAGTAGCGGATAGGAATTCTTTTGTCATATATTTGATTGCTGGAAGGGGAAATAATGTATCTGTGAAGCTCTAACAAAGTAGCCTGTTCTTGAGCAGGTTTTGATGAAGGTCCAGTGAAATTTCAGCCATTGCATTGAGACAAATGAACAGTTGATCTACTCTTGTGTTTCAATCTGGGAAATCTACATTTCAACTATGGACTCCTTGTTGTGGGTGCTCTACATACAGCCTGGGATGAGAGGAAGTAAGGTTCTCACTAAGAGCTATACACCTTGACAGGATCACATTTTGCTCATCAGGAAATTAGTCATTCTGTTCCATTGTACACAGAGAAATAGAAAGAAATATGTGATTAAATGCCCAATTATAATGAAGAAATAATGTAGGTTTACTACTTAAATTGTAAAAATAGTTCCATGGACTTTTATATTCACATTTTTAGGTATAAACATCTCTGCTGTTATCCAATTTATTTTTTTAAATGTTATGAGCTCACTAACTGTAAGAAATGGGCTTTTTCCTCTGTGTCTATTTTTTCATGCATGATCACTCTGATTAGTATATTAGATCCAATAACATTTCTATTATTTTTTGTAAATTTTATTTTATTGTAAAAATGCTGTACAGAGGGGTTACATTTACATGAGGAAGGCAGCGAGTACATTTCCTGTTCAGCATTGTTACCCTTTCCCTAGTAGTTCTCCCTCTATCCCTTTCCTCCCCCACCACCCTCATCCCTTCACCCTCCCCTTCCCACTGCCTTCCCTGAAGTTGTAAAGTTCATTTCCAATATACTGTCTTGTGGATATGTTGCAATGTGTCATCCTATGTCTTTGTTTCACAATTTTGTTAGTCCTCTTCCCCTCCCCAAATTAGATAGATGTATATACAAGATGCAGGTTATCAAAATCAGGTACAGTAACAACAGGGGATATACCATAGGGGGAAGAACATACAAAGGAAACAAAATAATCACATAGTACATTAAAAATAACAACAATAAAGAAAGACCTCTTGTGTTCATATCTTGGGGTTCATTTCACTTAGCAAAATGTTATATGGTCATATGTACATAGCTTTTGAGCTTTTTCTGCACATCTGATAAAATTGTTCTATAAATACACTCATTATTGTAAATGAGGGAAACTGTGGGACCTATATTTCCTTTGATCTGGCTTACTCCACCTTAGGTCTCTGGGACTGACTGTCTTATTTGCCAGTCCTGTACCTGAACTTAGGTCCTGGATGCTATGTCTGAGCCTCCTTGTGCTCAAGGTTAGTGCTCTACCACTTGAGTTACAGCACCACTTCTGGATTTTAATCTGTATGTGGTACTGAGGAATTGAACGGAGGACTTCGTGCATACTAGGCAAGCACTCTACCACTAAGCCACATTCCCAGTCCAGGACTGACTGTCTTATTTCACAATTAGTTGGGTGATTCTCTCTCTATCCTCATATCCACACTTCTTCCAAATTCAACTGAGAGCTATTCCTCTAATTGTTCTTCTCTCAAACCCATGTCAGAGAATGATGATCTAGAGAACTTGTCTGTACCAGGAGTGCATGTTTACCATAAGCCAGGTCCAGCATCAAAGCTCTACTCATTATGTGGAGGGGGGAGAAGAAAACATGAATTTATTTCTATACTCTGCTTTGCTCCAGTAGTGTGTGAAATAGTTCATTGAGCAGGGTTGCTATAGGAACCTGTCATGTAGGGCCTGGTACAGATGGACTCTGACTTTGTCAATGCCTGGTCTGTGAGCTACTGGCCTTTGGGGAGCAGTGTTATCTTTGTGCACCTGTAGCAACTGCTTAGACTTACAATAAGATGGTGGATTCATTGTCAAGCAAATGTCCTGTCCGTGTCTTTCCAGTTGTGACATCCAGCACTAGTGTGAACAGCTCCCTCACCTGCTGGACTCCAGGTGGTAGCATTCCTCATCGTACTCTGGATTCATCACCTGTGGCATTTTCCCTTGTCCTCTCTGGGCTTTGCAGCTCCAGTGTCCCACTTCACACTTAATTATGCTACATGTTATCCTTTCAGAGCTTGTTTATATCATAAACTATGAGTTCAATCACTGAAAACTTCTTTAATTACAAATTCCATTAAATGGGAGGTGCTGTAGGAATTTACAGTTTTAAGAGGCAGAGTAAATTGAAGTTTAGTTCAGCCTCGGTTTAGAGAATAGCTCAGGTTCTGAGGAGGAATAACTTGGATTACGAACAATAAGGCATGAATGTCATCAAGACTTTAGGAGACTTGCAGCTCAGAAAAGTACAATGATAATAAGGCTATGCCTGTAGCCAGGTCATTTCAGTATACAGAGAGCCAATGTCTGATGTTAAGTCTACTGGATGATGGTGGTGGGAAAGTGCATTCAGAAACAGAGGACAGCAACCTGGAGTTGATAGCAAAACCCAATAGCTAGCCTGTACATTGTACACCATAGCACAATACTGCACATACTTTAATTTCATACTTTTCATTGTCTTTCATTAAGTCTTAATTGATACTTGTCTATCATCTATTTATTTAACTATCACTCTCTCTATCAACCTACATACCCATGTAGGTTGACTAATTGAATGATTGTGTCTATGATTAACAAATGGGTTCAAGGAAACCAAAGACTTAGAAAACTTAGAAAATCTAATCTCAATCATTAATTCTACATTTTGGGACCATTTTTTCTTGAAAAAATGACTTAAGTAAAATGCTATCATGAAAAGAATGTCATGACCCATGTATAAATTAAAATTCATTGTATTTAACCAGAGAATCATTCTGCCCCCTGAACCCCAGAGAGAAACACATTATCTTCAGGCACAACAGTGCTACCCTGGTATGATTTTTTTTGTATCTGGGTCATCATGTCTGGGCTGAGATACTGAAATCTGGCATGTTGGTGCACCTGTGCTGGCCCCTTCCAACCCCTACTGATTTGCATGTGCCCAGAGCACAGCCCAGTGCCCTGAGCAGTTCTTGAAAGCTGCTCACATCCTGGACAGGAGTCAGTCCTAGTCAGCGCACAGCATGGACATGAAGGTCCCTGCTCAGTTCCTGGGGCTCCTGCTGCTCTGGATTACAGGTAAGGAAGGACTACGCTGAGGATCTCCTCTGTCAGCTGTCATCAGTGATGCTTGGCTGTTTATGAAGCTTTCTTATAACATGCTTGATTCTATGTATACTTCTTACTTTTCCAATGGCAGGTACCAGATGTGACATCCAGATGACCCAGTCTCCATCCACTTTGTCTGCATCTCCTGGAGACAGAGTCACCATCACTTGCCGGGCCAGACAGAACATTTACTATGGGTTAAACTGGTACCAGCAGAAACCAGGGGGAGCTCCAAAGCTCCTGATCTATCTTGCAAACAATTTACAATCTGGGATCCCCTCCAGATTTAGTGGCAGTGGATCTGGGACAGAGTTCACTCTCACCATCAGTAGCCTGCAGCCTGAAGACATTGCCACTTATTACTGTCAACAGTATTATGATAACCTACCCACAGTGATACAAGCCATAACATAAACCTCCAAGAAGCAGAAGTGTGAGCCTGGGCTGTCCCAGATGCTTTCCTCATGCTTCCTCTTGCAAGAGCTCTCCTAGAATCATAGGACAGGAATCTTTGTCAGGATATCCTGGACCAGCGAGTCTCTGTGTCTCAATCTTTGGAGTAAGTGTAATTATAGATGTGCGATACTGGCACTGGGCTGAATGTATAAGGTACATTATGTAATAATAAATATGAATTATATAAAGTTTATTATGGGTTATTTTGTATATATGATGTATTATTAGGTATTAGTCTATGATTTTTCTGATTTTCCTATTCTTTTCACGTTTTTTGTAAAGGTGATACATAGAGGGATTACAGTTACAAAAGTAAGGTAATGAGTAGGTTTCTTTTTGAATAGTGTCACCCTCTCCTTCATTATCTCCAATGTCTACCCTGCCAACTACTCCCCCAGCCCAAGCTGTAAAGTTCATTTCCAGTATACTGTCTAACAAGTATTATTGTCACATTGTTTTGTTATTATATGTTATGTCATTTATGTATGTTCTTAAGACTTACCAAATTTTTTATCCAATGTATAGGTGAACTTTTCCATTTTACAAAATATTGTGCTACTGATTATAACTTTACCTGGAAATATATCCAAATAATCATAAGGAATAACTTGAGGAAAAAAGTCACTCTGAAAGAGTTTCTATGGTGGGTATTGAAGATTCCACTACTAAATATCACGAGTTAAGTATTAGGGAAAAGGTATACAAAAAGGTGAATTAAGAGCAAGTAAAATGAAAAACATAGGGCATCTCTCTTTTATAGGCAATGTTCTAACTGTGGATTTAGGAGAAAATAGATGGAGGAGGTGGAGATGTGGTGTGATTAAAGATTTCAGGGGTTTGTTGGTATTGAAGAAAATACTTAGGATTATGAGATATTGGATCCTATGAGTGAAAATAGCCAAGGAAAACATTGGTCCATGGATGGAAGAAGGTAAAACCCCAGAGAAAGATACAGCAAAGTAATCAACACTACTGTTACAGTTACACAAACGAGGATGCTGAAGCAGAGAATTAAGGAATTTAACAGCTGCCACACTCCATAAGGCATGGAAGGGCGGGGCCACCAGGGCACATTGTTTGACCTCAAGCTCACAGGATAGCAGCTGGATTGTGTCTATGGATGTACATTTTACCCTGAGTCTGTAGAGACATACATGGAATAGAGTGGCACAGATGAAAATGCTTTCTTGAGACGCATGTTGCAGATGGAAAAGGAGAGTTTAATTTTTATTGGGGAAATAGAAGACAGACAGGGAGGACATTCAGAGCCAGAGAACTTAAGCCAAAATAAAGAGCTGATCACACTGTCTTTCAAGACATGCAAGGTTGAAGACCAGCCATCCAATGAGCACAACTTGAAGGAGCAGGAAAAACCCAATGTGGATTTTAGGTAGACCAGATTTTCAGACTGCTAAGTAGCAGAGAGCCTGAGATTACTGTGATTGTTTTGCTCATAACAATTGCTGCAGAAGTGGCACTGTCGCTCAAGCAGTAGAGTGCTTTCCTTGAGCTGAAGAGCTGAGGGAGAGTCCCCAAGCCCAGAGTTCAAGACCCACAACCGACCAAAAAACAAACAAACAAACAAAAAAATTGCTGCATAATGGGCAACTGTTTTGTTGGCTACATAGTTTTAGTGTCTCTGTTTCTTAGGGTTCTCTACAGTAACTTTTGGATAAGATTTTCACCTTGGTTCCTGGAATATTCTTCAGAGTTTTTCTAATGTTAGGTTCAAGAAAAATACACTGCCAATAACTTTGGGTGAGACACATGTAAGTGTATGCTTTTAACATTGTACATGTCAAATACACATCATGAGATGACAAGAAAACAAATAAGAAGAATATAAGAAGTCCAGGCATGGTGATGCATGCCTTGTACTTTCAGATATAAAGGACAAAGAGGTAGAAAGATCTCAGCCCAGGACCAGCTCAAGCATTTTTAATACATTCCAGATGATATCAGAACAATGAATTAAAGCAAAAACAGTTGGGAGGGTGGCTTAGTAGATAGAGCACTGGCCTAGCAATCTTAAGTTCCTGAGTTCTAACTGTAGTACACTCAAAAAGAACTGTAAGATAAAGAGAATAAAAACTGTAATGATACACAAGAAAGATTCTATGCAAATACCATCAGGATAATTTACAGTATGTTGACATATCAATTTGAAATTTCAAATCATTGAATGCAAAGTTATCCAAACTATGGACTAGGCATGCGTCTCCCTGTTTTGCAGTCTAACAGAATCAAAGGCACATCTCCCATGCTGGACACAGATCATTCTGATACCAGATTTTTAACATTTTAAAATGCAGACCCCCATATTATGTCTGGCTCCTCACTCCCAAATGCCAAATACAGACATAGTGAAGGGCAGAAAAAGGAGATTTATCATGGTAGCCATCGGAAAGCTGCATTTTAATATATATCCACCATCTTTGTATAAATCCTGTGACTCTTATTTCTGTGATTGATAAGCAAGAAGCCAGACATGGAGATGTCGCTCAAGTGGTAGAACACCAACCTTGAGAGAAAAATCCAAACAAGAGTGAGCAGGAGGCCTTGAGTTCAAGACCCTGTCTTAGAACTGAAATAAAAAAATATTGAATTTACAGGAATTAGAAGAAATTGAATACATGATTTGTAGTGAATATATTATATGCTCAGTAGTAAATGATATATTATATAGTAAATATAAAGCAATATATTTGGTTCTATTGGTGTTTGAACTTGGGGTTTCCTGCTTATTCTGCTCTAAAACGTAAGTCATTTCACCATCAGTTTTTACTTTAGTTTATTTTTCAGATGAGTTGTTGTTATTTTACCTGGCTTGGTCTTCTATTACAATCCTTCTAATTTCACCTCCTGCATAGCTGCAGAAATGTATACCACACGCTACAACTTGTTTTTGTGGTTGAGTCTCACTGCTTTCCAGGACAGCTATGAAGCACAATCTTAAATATCTATGCCTTCAGGTTAGCTGGGATTGCAGGCATAAATTACCATTTCCAACCCTTCAATGAAAATGCTTTTAAGAACCTTGTTACTAAGGTAGGCCCTGTTGGCTCACGTCTATAATCCTAGCTACTCAAGAGGTCAAGAGTTGAGCATCATGGTTCAAAGCTGGACCAGGCAGGAAAGTCCTTAAGACTCTTATTTCCAATAAACCACCAGAAAAATATAAGTGATGCTGTGGCTCAAGTGGTAGAGCACTAGCCTTGCTCTGAAGAGTTGAGGGACAGCTCCCAGGCTCAGAGTTCAAGCCTCATAACCGACCAAAAGAAAAAAATGGAGAATTATTTGTAATATGTTATATTTCATATAAAGATGAAGAAAAAACAATTTCACATTACAATATGAAAGAAATAAACTCAACTAAAATAAAAGCACACAGAGTGAGTGTTATACCCAGGAGCCTGTGTCCAGCAATGTGACAGCAGAATTAGGGATGTTATTTTTCTTTTATGTATTCTTTTGTTGATTCTCACTGGAGGTACAATATCTACCTTATAAATATTCAAAGCAAATGGATGATGAGAAGGATAAAGGAAGATGAAATTATGATACTGTAACAGGAAAAGGAAAATGCAAAAGTTGGAGAGAATCTTTATGAATAAGAAGCCACTCTCCTGAATGATCAGCTAACCATACAGCCGGGCCAGTAGGTAATTTGTTAAAAATAATATAAAAATGTAATCCTGGAAAGTCCAGGTGAATATAATTTGATTTATTGAAGGTAGGAAACACTTCTCAAATAATGAATTAAAATTATAAATTAAAAGAAGCAACATTCATTCAGTTTTCATCCACAAGACTCCAGACCTATGGGACCAGAAAAATCACTGAGAAAGAAGAAAAAGAGCTGAGCCATTAAATGGTATATCCTAAGAACATTCAAGAATTCCTAAATCACGTTGACTTTTTGCTTTCTTTGGAATCAGGAAGCAAAATAATATGTCAAGCATCACACTTCTTTTCCTACAGAATACCCATCCCATTACAGAAAAAATGTTTACCTCTTTATTCAAATAAGCTCTTAAGATCTAGGATTTAGGAAATCTATGATTTAGGAAAGGTCAGAGGGCACCCCTTCCTCTATGACCATCAACCAGGTGTAGCCCAGAACCTAGGAGATTCACAATGGAGAGAAGTTTAGATCCAACTGGAACTGAGAATTTGAAGATGTTTCCTCTTTGAACATTATTTCTTTCTGCTCAATAGCTCCCAATAATAACCAGGAAGAGATACTACTTGTTAAAGCTCTTTATCATATCACCTGATCTGGAAGAAATAATTTAATATTAATGTTTGTAGAGCTCATAAATTTCATAGATTAAAATGATGATGATAATCATTATGAAGGGTAAAATGTTTTATGATTTTAGATAAGTGTAACTATGCCACAGTACTGTGAAATTTATGTAAGCTACTTAATCTCAATAAAGAAATCTTTTTGAGGAAAAAAGCTCTTTATAAATACTTGCTCAAAAGATCTTGAGACTTTAGTTTCTGTGAAATTGAATAGTTCATTGACTCATGACACATACACAAAAGAAAAGCATCAGGTCCTAGGATAAGTTCCTGTATCCACCTGTTGCAAGGCTGAATAGCAGTAGGAAAATGTTTCACATGATATAAACACCTAGAACATTTCAGTAAGGCTTTACAAACATTCCCTGAAATGATTCCATATTAAGTAGAAATAAAACAGGTTAGATTTCATATACAGAGGTAAAATATGGCTGTCCGTAAAAATGTACTCGTTTATGGATTGATTGGGGTTAACAGTCCAGAAATTAGTTGTTACTAATATTCCTAAATTATGTGTTGGTTGCCACTCAGGTTTTAATATTTCAACAAGCTTTCAGGAAGGTTTTTGTCAAACTTTCAGCATTTGGACTTGTAGCTTTTAATTGATTAACTTCCTTTCCCTTTCCCTTCTTCTTCCTCTGTCTTTTAAA